ACTTTTTAATAGGGTTGCCTTTTTTTTTCCTTTCTGGTTTGTTTGAGTTCTTTGTAGATACTGGATATTAGTGCTTTATTGGGTGTAAAGTTTGTGAATATTTTCTCCTATATTGTAGGTTGTCTTTTAACTCTGTTGATTATTTCCTTTGCTGTGCAGAAGCTTTTTAATTTAATTAAGTCTCATTTATTTATTTTTGCTGTGGCTGTATTTGCATTTGGGGTCTTAGTCATAAATTCTTTGCTTGAGTGACTTTTTCCTTTATTTTTTTCTAGAATTTCTGTGGTTTTGTGCCTTACATTTAAGTCTTTTATGCATCTTGAATTAATTTTTGTGTATGGTGAAAAACAGGAATCCCATTTGATTTTTTTTGCATGTGGCTATCCAGTTTTCCCAGCACCATTTATTGAATAGGGTGTCCTTTCCCCAGTGTTCTCTGCTTTGTGTAAGATCAGTTGATTGTAGGTAGATAGTTTTATTTCTGGGTTCTGTACTCTGTTCCATTGGTCTTTCTCTACTTTTACACCAGTGCCAGGCTGTTTTGGTTGCTACAGTCTTGTAGTATAATTTGAAGTCAAATAACGTGATGCCTCCAGATTTGTTCTTTGTGTGTAAGATTGCTTTGGCTATTTGGTCTCTTTTTTTTTGGTTCCAAATAAAGCATGTAATTTATTTTCTTGATCTATGAAATATGATATTGGTATTTTGGTGGTGATTGTTGAATCTGTAAATTAGTTTGGGCAGGATGTACATTTTAACAATGTTGATTCTACCAGTCCACAAGCAGGGGATGTTTCTCCATTTTTTTGTGTTGTCTGTGGTTTCTTTTATAAATGTTTTGTGGTTTTCCTTTTAGAGATCTTTCACATCCTTGGTTAAATATATTCCAAGGGATTTTATTTTCTTTGTACCTATTATAAATGGTCTGGAGTCCTTGATTGAATCCATCTCTATAAAATATAGGGAAAATTACCTGGGCGTGGTGTGCACCTGTAGCGTCAGTTACTTGGGAGGCTGAGGCAGGAGGATTGCTTGAGCCTAGGAGTGTGACGTTGCTATGAGATAGGATGATGCCACTGCATCTCAAAAAAATAAATAAGTAAATAAAAATAAGATAAAAAATATAAAAGAGAATACTTACAGTTTTAGACTGGGAATTTAGAGAGAACTGGATACAGGTGTCCTCTTTCTATTTTTGTTTGTTTTATCAGTAGACCCAGTGTCCACTATGTAAGAAATTATATCCTCTCAGAACTTACTCTGTGTTGATATTTCAGTTTATTACAAAACATGAACACTCTTCCAAATATTTATTTACCAGAAAGCATTCTGGTTTTTGAGTTACCATCAGCAAGTCTCAAATCCACTGTAATACATCTTGTTAAAGGATTGGCGCCTGTAGCACAGTGGTTACAGCACTGGCCACATGCACCGAGGCTGGCAGGTTTGAACCCAGCCCTGGCCAGCTAAAACAATGACAACTGCAACCAAAAAATAGCCAGGCGTTGTGGCGGGTGCCTGTAGTCCCAGCAGCTTGGGAGGCTGAGGCAGGAGAATCGCTTAAGCCCAAGAGTTGACGGTTGCTGTGAGCTGTGACGCCATGGCACTCTACCCAGGGTGACATAGTGAGACTCTGTCTCAAAAAAAAAAATACATCTCATTAAAGTCCTGCTCACTTCAGTCTCTATGAATTCAAATTAAAGCAAGTGATTGGATTTTGGCATCTACTGGGAATGAATTCGCCTTTCTTTAGTCCCTAATTTGATCATGAGAATTTTATAAAATCATTTGAGAGAATTGCAAAGTACCTATTACATTGTTCACTTCACCACATGTCATGGCTGGCAAAAGCTCAGGTAATTTAGATGCTTATAATTTTCTGAATGGTATTATGCTTTTAAACAGTACCCTGGGGTCCAAATCCACATTAACTAACTGACAAAAAATTATAGATAATTTTATTCAAGGCAACACAAAAGGGCAGGATTGTGGCAGGAATAATAAAACATCCCTTAAATAAAGGGATCTGAAATCCCAGAGCACAGGATCAATTAGGCCAACTACCACTAGTTAAGGATGGATTTAACCACAGCTAGTTTATCTGCTACTAGCTAAAGGCCAGCTCAAGAGATACCATCTGACTGTACAGCTAGAAGATCTCACGCATATTCTGTAGGAAGGGACTCAGTGAGTCCTTTGGGAACACACATGTGCCCTTCCCCCAATACACACTTGAATTAGCTGACTTCATGATCCTCCCCACATCGCCAATGGTGGCATGATGCTCACTAGAAGATATTGATACAAGAACAAACAGTGTTTCAGGGATGTCCTTTAAATACTCTTTTGAGAAATTAGGAAGATCTGTAATACCCTTTTCAGGACTAGAGCCATGGCTCTCCACCTTCCATCCGAGCTGCATTTTAGAATTTCCTGGGGAGGCTGTAATAATCCTCATACCTAGGGTGACCAGATTTTAACATTTGTAAAATGGGACAACATGGCTGGGGGGCGGGGCGGGGGGGGGGCTAGGGCAGGGCCTGACAACAATGCAAACTTTGATAAGCAGTTCTCGATAATCACTTCTCAACAATTATTTGTTATTATTACAGTTTAACATTATAAAATTAACAAAAATAATATAAAACTCATATCCTGGAGAAATAGCCACATGGCATCTGAAAACCGTATATTCCCTTCCTGTTCTCCCGCCCAGTTGTGCATTCTTTCCAAAAATCGGCACTTTTTAAAAATGCCGCAGGACGCGGGACAAATTGTTCAAAAGCGGCATGTCTGGTCACCCTACTCATGCCCTATATGCACCTCAGACGAATCACATCAAATCTTTGAGGAGAAAGCCAGTCTAAAATATTTTCTAATTCCCCAGGTGATTGTGATGGACATCAAGGTTGAGAAGGACTGTAGTAGCTATTTGAGAAATTGATTATTTGGCAGGGCATAAAGAGACGTTTTCAAGGTATGCAAAAGACACTGACAAGGGATGTCATTGTCCTATTATGCATTACATAATGGGAAAACAGAAATTGACCATGAATTTTACTGACTGACTCACTTAGTGTCTGATTAATCTATGATTACAGGCTCTAAGTTGCTAGCTCAGCAGTAAACATTCATTGTATTTTAGCCAATTGTTAAAGCCGTTGGAGGTAGAAAAGTTAGCCATTGGTGATGTTTCTATATCCAAAAGAATGCTGTCTGGGGAGGAAAGGACCTCAGTGTATGGAAGTTAGTTGGCGGGACTGGCACCTAGTTGAATTCTAAAAGCTTTAGGCAAAGAGTCAAGTGGACCTTTAGGAAGAATGCAATTATTTGGCATTTACAAAGTATAGTGGGTCTGAAAATGGAGCAAGACAACTCTCCCTATAGTCAGAGTCTTCTTCAGTGCCAGAGGGTAGGATCTGAAGAACGAGAACGGGTCGTCATGGATTCAAACATCTATACATCCCCCAAAGGTGCATTATTAGAAAGTTGAACATCATCTTCATTTTCTAACATTGTAGTAAGAATATTTTCAAACATACAGAAACATTGAAATAACTGGGCAGTAAACGCCCCCTTATTTATCACCTCCACCGGGGTCAGCAAACTTTCCCCGTAAAGGAGAGAGACTATATTTTAGGCCTTGGGGGCCAAGAGGCAAAATTGAGCAACTATTCTCGCCAAAAGGCTAGTATTTTATACATTTCACTTAAAAAAATCTGGTAAAACCATCCTTAGCTGTGGTTCATATAACAATAGGCAGTGGGTCAGATTTGGCCTGTGGGCCATAGTTTGCCAACTCCTGACTGAAAGTTCAACTGACATTTCACTGTTGTAGGGGAAGCAAAA